GGCTGGCCAGTTGCCTGCCCATACGAGTCCTAATTTGAGGATGTTGGGCTGAGGAGTTGACTTTCTTCCCCTTTGTGCTTCTCTCCAGGTTCCACAGAAGAACCACCTCCCAGTGTGCCCCAGCCTCCCCCAGAGCCACCAGCTGGACCCCCAGCCTCCACCCCCCGCCCGGATGAGCGACCTTCCTCTCCCATTCCCCTCCTTCCACCACCCAAAAAACGTCGGAAAACCGTCTCCTTCTCTGCTGTGGAGGAGGTGCCAGCCCCAGAGCCTCCCCCAGCCACCCCACCTCAGGTCAAGTCTCCTGGTCCAGTCTCCCGCAAAGTCCCCCGGGGTGTGGAGCGGACCATTCGCAACCTGCCCCTGGACCATGCATCTCTGGTCAAGAGTTGGCCGGAAGAGTTGTCCCGAGGAGGTCGCAGCCGGACTGGAGGCCGAGGCCGCTCCACTGAGGAGGAAGAGGCTGAGCCAACGGCAGAAGTGGACCTGGCAGTGCTGGCTGACTTGGCGCTGACCCCAGCCCGGCGTGGGCTGACTGCCCTGCCTACTGGTGACAACTCAGAGACCACAGAGACGTCGGACGAGGCTGACCGCCCAGGTCCCCTGCTCAGCCATATCCTCTTGGAACACAACTATGCCTTGGCCGTCAAGCCCCCGCCCTCCACGCCACCCTCACGGCCCCTGGAGCCAGTTCCTGCCCCTGCAGCCCTCTTCAGCTCCCCAGCAGATGAAGTTCTGGAGGCTCCTGAAGTGGTGGTAGCTGAGGCAGAGGAGCCCAAGCAGCAGCAGCAGCAAGAAGAGGGAGAGGAAGAGGAGGAAGAGGAAGAGGAGTCGGAGTCATCTGAGAGCAGCAGCAGCAGCAGCAGTGATGGCGAGGGGGCTGTCCGGCGGCGCAGTCTCCGTTCCCACACCCGGCGCCGGCGGCCACCCCCTCCCCCCCCCCCCCCACCGCCCCCAACCGACGAGCCCCGCAGTGAGTTTGAGCAAATGACCATCCTGTATGACATTTGGAACTCAGGCCTGGACTTGGAGGACATGAGCTACCTGCGGCTCACCTATGAGCGGCTGCTGCAGCAAACAAGTGGGGCTGACTGGCTCAACGACACCCACTGGGTCCATCACACCAATATCCTGAGCTACAGAGGCTGGCCGCCTCAGTGGGGGACGCAGGCTCGGGGTGGGACATGCTTTCCTGGGGTCAGCACTGCTAGGCAGTGTCCTAATGTCTGTGTTCATCTCCTTCCTGTCTAGTTTTCTCTGCCACATTCAGCCTGCGTATTTTCCCTCTGGCTGTCTCTCTGCCTCCTGCTCTTCCTGCCTGTTCTTCTGGAAGAAGGGGTGGGTTCAGAGGCTTATTTCTCCAACTTTCCGTTTTCCTCATGCTAAATGTGCTCAGGACCTCCAGCTCACATCAGTTACTCTCAGGCTGGGACTGGGGTGGACATGGGAGCCTGTGAGGAACTCATTTTCTTCCTTGACACCCTCCACTCACCAACCTGAGCACTCCAAAACGCAAGCGGCGGCCCCAGGACGGGCCCCGTGAGCACCAGACAGGCTCAGCCCGCAGCGAAGGCTACTACCCCATCAGCAAGAAAGAAAAGGATAGGTACCTGGACGTGTGCCCTGTCTCAGCCCGGCAGCTGGAAGGAGCAGACACTCAGGTGAGGCCCTTCCCTGACACCTGGCCCACCGGCATTCTTTTGCCATTATTTTTTCTCCAGCTTAACCTCTCTCATGTCCTGCTTCTCCCAGGGGACTAACCGCGTGCTTTCGGAGCGCCGATCTGAACAGCGGCGGCTGCTGAGTGCCATCGGCACTTCAGCCATCATGGACAGTGACCTGCTGAAGCTCAACCAACTCAAGGTGAGAAGCAGGGACTTGGAAGGCACAGTGGGGAAGCTGGGCCTAGGGTTACTGCCCACAACATCTGTAGTTTCTTGGGGGTGGGAGTGGGCAGACCCCTCTTGCCCTGGACGTCTGTGGGAAAGGCAGGGGGCTGGGGAGTTGGACGCAGCCAGCAGTATAGTCTGTCTTCTGCCCTCTAGTTCCGGAAAAAGAAGCTCCGATTTGGCCGGAGCCGAATCCATGAATGGGGTCTGTTCGCCATGGAACCCATTGCAGCTGACGAGATGGTCATCGAATATGTGGGTCAGAATATCCGCCAGGTGAGGTTTGACTGTGGATTTGATGGCAACTGGGATGCTCACATGAGAGCCACCTGACTCTAGATAAAGCCCCACATCTCTCCCTGCTCCTGGGACTAAGCCAGTAAAGCCTGCTTCGTTTTTTTTTTTTTTTTTTAAGATTTATTTATTTGTGCATACAGAACCGGGGTACAGGCCAGAGATGCGGAGGGTGAGAGGATTCACCAGAGACAGAGTGGGGAGCAGAACAGGCAGATCGACGAAGTGCACTGCTGAGGGGAGCAGCGGGCGGGTCAGGAGAGGTCTGCCACGCCATGTGGTCACCTCCGGGGCAGGCGGGGGATCGAACTCATGCGGAAGCGGCTTTAGCTTCTCAGTGCAGTGCTTTAACCCGCTGCGCCACCAGGGAGGGCCTCCTGCTTCATTTTTTATTACTTCATTGAACAACTATAATGGATACAAGTGTACTAGAGCTTATTGATGAACAAGAAGCAAAGCTAATTATCTCTCTCTGTAAGGACCTTACAGTTTAATGGAGTCTGAACAAGTATTTACCCATTAAAGGGGAGGTTTGGGAGGCAGGATGGAGGAAGCAGTGATATTTAAGCTGGGGCAAGGGAAAGCGCACCCCTGTTGTAGGACAGCATGTACGCAGGATCATCTCTGGTCCATGTGGCTGGGGAAATTTGGCAAGTGGCATCAACAAGAGGTGGGCAGGCCAGATGGGATCCAGACTTCGGAGCTTGGTAGCTGTAGCAGTAAGTTTGAACCTGTGGTAAGGAAGGGATGAAGTGTTCAGCAGGAGAGCACTTGGGGCGGCTCTCTGGGGTCGCTCACTGTGGCGTAAAGGGAATAGGCTGAGACTGCTGTGGGGGATTGTCGCAGAGATCCTGTGAGTGGGGGTGGTGGGAAAGGCCTGGACTAGGTCATGGCACTAACGACCTGTGAGTCCAGGATCAACATCAGGACCTTGCAGTTAAGTTGGCTCTGGAGAGCGAGGGCAAGGGCGAGGCTGTCTCTCAAGACACAGCCTTCAGCAGCTAGGTAGCTAGGGCTGCCTGTGAGACGGGGAGCGACAAGGGGCAGATGTGTCGTCAAGCTACGCTCCAGTTTGGACATGTGAAATTGCAGCTCCCGGGGGGCATCATCCGGGGGTTACATCCAGCAGCTCCACTTAGGTGGACTTCAGCTGGACAGGGAAGTTTGGGAGGAGTCCCCATCACTTAGCTGGCGGTTGGAGCTCTGGAAGAGAGGGAGGTCACCCAAGGAGAGTGCCGAGAGTGCACTGCACTGCCCTGCCCTGTTTTCTGGGAAGTAAACATGCTCCTCATGTAAGAATGTCCTCTGACAGGGACAGCCTGTCTTGGAGACAGTCCTGGGAGTAGAGTGGAGTAGGGTTCTGTCTGTGGCATGGCTGCTGTCTCAGGAACTGCCCTGGCAGCATAGATGTCTGGGGCCCCCCCATGTCCACTGTGAGCCAGGCAGGTACTCTAGGAGGAGCTCATGGCAACTTCCGCCTAGTGACCAGAGCAGACTTCCCTGGAATGACTCAGAATGCCAGCGCAAGTGTAGGAGGGAGGGCTTCTAGAAGCAGTCTGAAAAGTCAACTCCATGGGTTCTGGAGCCAGAGAGAGTCTAGATCCAGGACAGGCTGATACAGGACCCCAGGGGAGACTACTGGACCCCCAGCTGGGGGCTGGTAGAGTCAGGCCTAGTCCAGCAGGGAGGTGAGGGGACAGCTCCCTTACCACCGTCCTGTCCCGTCCTCCAGATGGTGGCTGACATGCGGGAGAAGCGCTATGTGCAGGAGGGCATTGGCAGCAGCTACCTGTTCCGGGTGGACCACGACACCATCATCGATGCTACCAAGTGTGGAAACCTGGCGCGGTTCATCAACCACTGCTGCACGGTGCGCGTGGGGCCTGCCTGGGGCGGGTGGGTATTGGGGGCGGCCAAGGCTCACGCTGCCCTTACCTCCTGCAGCCCAACTGCTATGCCAAGGTGATCACCATCGAGTCCCAGAAAAAGATCGTGATTTACTCCAAGCAGCCCATCGGCGTGGACGAGGAGATCACCTACGACTACAAGTTCCCACTGGAGGACAACAAGATCCCCTGTCTGTGCGGCACCGAGAGCTGCCGTGGCTCCCTCAACTGAGGTGGGGCAGGACTGGTGCCCACACCCCTATTTATTCCCCTTGGTGCCCTGAGCTCCTAGCCCCCAGCCTTAGTGGGCTTAGCAGGTCCCACATCCCCCCATCTCAGATATGGGGTAAGGGGAACCCCTGAGCCCTAGGAGGGAACCTCAATCCCTTGAGGCAACTTCTGCCCCCTGTCTCCTTCCCCACCCACCTCCTCATTTTTTTTTCTTTGCGGAGAAGAAGCTGTAAATGTTTTGTAGCTGCCAGCAGCTGTTTCCTGTGGAAACCTGGGGTGCCGGCCTGTACAGATCCTGTTTTTGGGGGTGCTGCATAGCCCCCTTGCTTTGTGTTAATGGGGACTTCCCCTTTGTGCCCTGCGTGCACCCCTCCCCAGTTTAGGGGTCTCTAGGGGCAGTGGCCATGTTCTCCCCCTGGGGGGGGCCCTGCGCCCCCAGTCCTAGGGACTCCGTGCCTGGAACCCTGCCTCATCTTCTGTTCCTGCCAGACCCTGTGGGTCACCCTCTCACCCTGGTGTCTGGAAGCTCCTGCTCACCCAGGCCAGGACGGTGAGGGACAGGCCCTTCCTGTTGGGCTGGACTGTACATATGTTAATAGCGCAAACCCAACGCCACATTTTTATAATTGTGATTAAACTTTATTGTACAAAAGTGCTTGGTCAGTATCTTTGGGGGAAAAGCAGGGGTGGGGTGGGGGTTGAAGACAGAGGTGGGGCAAGTGAAGAGGGGGAAATGGGTGGCCTGAAGTTGGGGATGGGTTGAGAGGGGCTTTTGGGCCAGCCTAGACCTGCAGACTCAGCTGCCGCCACTCTGGGCTCCCTGATAGGCTGGACAGTGGTCCAAAAATTCCCCAAGGCCAGCCAGTGTGGGCCAAGGTCAGGCCTCCTTTCCCTTCTCAGAACCACAGCTGCTGCTGGACTTCTGGCCTCGTGGGGAATCCAGCAGAGGAAAGGGCTAGAGTCATGCAGTGGGAGTGAGGTCACCCTGCCTGCTGCTCCTTCCTGCGGCCAGGAAACCCCTTATCACTCATTACCTAAGCAGCAAGTTTTAGCTTCCCCCTGAGTTCTTTGCTGGAACCTGGTGCCAGCAGAGTGCAGAATGGCCACCAGGGGGTGCCCTGTGGCAGGAGTGAGGGAATAAAGGGTGGTGGCCAAGTTGGACTGTGCTGTTTCTGGGATGGGCCAGGAGGGAGGAGCAAGCGGAAGGGGCTGAGTGCTGATGACGGGCTGGCCGCTGGTGACCAGAGTTGAAAGCCCCTCCTCTGGTGGCCAGTTTGTGTGCCGGGTGCCCTGGGACAGTGGCTGCAGGTAGGTAATTTAGCCCAGCTCTTTCCACCTGCCTCTACTTTTCACTCCAATTCCTTGCTTGCCACCCACCCTTTTTTGTTCCAGAACCTTCCCATCTACCTCAAACCCTGATTCAAGCCCTCACCCTTCTCAATAACTGGTCAGCAGGGTAAGAGGGGAGGAAGCCTGGCTGCTGCACCCACAACTGCAGCCACCAGGAACACCTCTGGCCTCAGTCACTGCTCCAGTCCAACTGGTCAGAACCCCCCTGCCAGGAGAACAGGTGGGCTGTTAGTGCTGGGCAGGAGGCAGCAGGCCGCCCAAGTGAGCCAGTCTCTCTTCCCAGCCGGGCATGGCAGGCCCTGCAGAGGCCCAGAAGCTGGTGTACCTGGTCACAGGTGGCTGTGGCTTCCTGGGGGAACATGTGGTGAGAATGCTGCTGCAGCAAGAACCCCAGCTCTGTGAACTGAGGGTCTTTGACCTGCACCTGAGTCCCTGGCTGGAGGAACTGAAGACAGGTGACCGTGGGGGAAGGGAGTAGAGGGCAGGGTGGGGACTTCCTTGGCTCTGGTGGAAAAGATGATGCCTGTTTGTATTCACCACATGGATGGGCTGAATGAGTCACATGGCAAACATGTGGCTCCTAAGGGTGTAGGCAGAACCTAGGAGTCCACCGACGAGCCCAGTTCTGACATGGCCTCTGGCTGCCCCTACCTCTACCAGGGCCGGTGCAGGTAACTGCCATCCAGGGTGATGTGACCCAGGCCCATGAGGTGGCAGCGGCTGTGGCCGGAGCCCACGTGGTCATCCACACAGCCGGGCTGGTGGACGTGTTTGGGAGGGCCAGCCCTGAGACCATCCATGAGGTCAACGTGCAAGGTGAGGTGCTCCCCACCTTTCAAACAATGCACTGATAGCGCCCTAGCTCACGACCAGATCTTGGCTGTTTGTTCCCCAGCCCCATTTCAACTTTGACCTTTGTCATTCTCCTGTGACTAGCCCCAGCCAGGTTGGCCCTGTGGACACTTCTGCCCATTAGCAAACTGCCCTCATCTACCTACCAGTGTTGTTTTTCCCTGGGCCTGGGAAAGGAAGCCACATGCCCTTACCCATACTTGGGGTGGAGGGGAAAGAGGGAGAAGCTTCGGCTTGGACACAACTCTCTTGCCTCCCCCAGGCACGCAGAATGTGATTGAGGCTTGTGTACAGAGTGGAACACGGTACCTGGTCTATACGAGCAGCATGGAAGCTTTGGGGCCCAATGCCAAAGGCCACCCCTTCTACAGGTGAGTTCAGGTCACCCCCCAGTATTTCAAGAGCCCTATCTTTTCTTCACTTTCAAAATTTTCCCTGCTCTCCCACTAGGGGCAATGAGGACACCCCATATGAAGTAGTACACAAACACCCCTATCCTTGCAGCAAGGCCCTAGCCGAGAAGCTGGTCCTGGAAGCCAATGGAAGGAAGGTGAGGGAAGAAAACGAGACGGGAGGTGGAGGACGGCTAGTCAGAGCAGAGCTGGGGCTCACCCTGCTTCTTTGCACCCTCCCTGGGCTGCTACTCTGGCGCCTCCAGCTGGAGGCCACCCTGAGGATGGCCACTGGCCCCTAGGCCTTAGCAGTGCCTGCCTTTTGCCCCCAGGTCTGCGGGGGACTGCCCCTGGTGACATGTGCCCTGCGTCCCACTGGTATCTACGGTGAAGGCCACCAGATCATGAGGGACTTCTACCACCAGGGCCTGCGCCTGGGGGGTCGGCTCTTCCGGGCCATCCCGGCCTCTGTGGAGCATGGCCGGGTCTATGTGGGTGAGGCTTGGGTCAGGCAGGCGGCCCCGTGTGCTCTGGGGGAGGGGTGTGCCCTGGGTAGAAAAGGTTCCTACACCAGCCCGGGTAGGCTGTGATTGCGTGCTGATCACTGCACGAGCCCCAGAGGAAGCAGAATCCACGCAAGCTGGGAAAGCTGACATAAAAGCACGTCAGAGGCCGAGGAGAGGCTTGCGGTTAAGGGGGCAGCACCTCCCCGGGAGAGGGGTAGCCTCTACACGGGAACAAGAGAAGGAACAGCATCCACATGGGCTGGCCCAGGAGGGCAGGTGGCTGCAGAGGGGTCTTTCCCAGTGTGTAGTAGGCGGGCAGCATCTGCTTGGGCCCAGAGGGGCTGGCCCGGGAGACAGTAGCTCCTTGTGGTCTCGGGCCCTCAGATGTACGTGCCCTTCCCCACCACAGGCAACGTGGCCTGGATGCACGTGCTGGCGGCCCGGGAGCTGCGGCAGCAAGCGGCCCTGCTAGGTGGCCAGGTGTACTTCTGCTATGACCAGTCCCCCTACCTGAGCTACGAGGACTTCAACATGGAGTTCCTGGGCCCCTGTGGCGTGCGGCTGGTGGGCACCCACCCCCTGTTGCCCTACTGGGTGCTGCTGATCCTGGCTGTCTTCAATGCCCTGCTGCAGTGGCTGCTGCGGCCGCTGCTGCTCTACGCACCCCTGCTCAACCCCTACACGCTGGCCATGGCCAACACCACCTTCACCGTTAGCACCAACAAGGCCCAGCGCCACTTTGGCTACAAGCCTCTGTTCTCGTGGGAGGAGAGCCGGACCCGCACCATCCACTGGGTGCAGGCCATGGAGTCAGCCAGCGTGGCACATCCGTCCAGGTCCTGAGTGCTCGAGCCAGGATGGGCAGGGAGGGTCATATTCTAGTGGAGGCAGGAATCTGGAGCTGACTGACTGTCCTTGAGTTCCCCCCTTTTTAAATCCTTAGCACTGAATCTGGGTCCTGATGCCTCAAAGTTTTAGGACAGGGTTTTGGAGTACAATGTCTTCAGTCTCAACCAGGCCTGAGGACTGTCTGGCCAGGGTCTGAATCCCCTGATGTTCTCCTGTCCCACTTCTGGTCTTTCAGACAGGGAGTAGACAGACTACGCAGGCTTCTTGCCAGCCTGCTGTCTGCCAGGCATGATCCCGAGCCTGGATTCCAAGCGAAGGTGCTTTGTGACCACTTCCAACACCTTTGTCTCCTTTGGAGGAGTCACAGTCCCGTTATTTAAAAACATCACCTTTAGACATTTAATTCTCAATGAAGGCTAAGGAAGTCCAGATATTTTCATTTCTTCCCGCTCCTCTGTCCAAATTCTGTACCTACAGTATCGTTGGGTCTTCGTCTGAGGATGTCCAGTGAACACTGGACCTGACAAGCCCTGGAATAAAGCGCCTTACCCACACCTGTGTCTGTCCAGTCCCGCCCTCTCCCCACGGCGCTGTCCCTCGCGGGGACAGAAGGAACTGAGCACACTGCACGCCCGCTGTTGGATTGGTTGCTATTTCTCCCGTCCCATGGGGCCCAACCCGGCCCGGGGTGGGGTGGGGGGCTCTGGGGACAGGACATGCAGGGCTGGGGGCGGGGCAGAATTTTCCTGTGTTTTATCCATTTGCAACTTGGTCACCAATAGAGAGAAATGGGACTCTGAGGGCTAACAAGAGTGGGTGGCCTGGCTCTGGGCCCCCAGCCAGGCCCCAGGAGTCCTGTCCCCTCCAGGGAGGAGAGGGAGAGAGCTCCAGAACCCAACGGAGAAACAGAAGGGGCAGGGTCTCATGTCAGCAAACACGGCTACATCACGTGACACGCCAGCGACACGGAAACACACGCCAACGCACACGGCTGCACAGTGGGCAGGGGGTGGGAGAGGAAGGAAGCCAGGAGCCACCCATCTTGTCCTGCAGGGCGGGCTGGGGCGGGCAGGGTGAATGCATAGAACACATCATGTACACACGCTCGCGGCGTGGCAAGAGCGTGCATCGACCCACAGGCACATGGGATGAACACGCAGTGTGCTTCGTGAGAGGCAGGGCTCTGGAGAGAGGGGGAGGGGAAGCAGCAAGCCTGGCCAGGCCCAGGACCACCCACAGGGCGCACAGGGGCTGGACAGCTGGAGGTGCATGGTGAGTGGGCAGCACACACTTGTCCAAGAACATGCAAGAGACACCAGCCCCCAGCAAGACTCCAGAACGCATACAGACATGGCAGCCAACAAGCAAACACATCGTAGGATGTGGGACTTGTAGAAAGCTGGCCCCTAGGGGTCCGAGTGAGGCCCAGAGAGATGGGCAGTTAAAGGCCTGATACCACTCAAGGAAGTAGTAGCATCCTCCAGCCATGGCTCCACCCTTCTCCTTGGGGCCCCAGGCTGTGGGGATTCCGGAAACACCTGGGCTGAAAGGGTGTCCTGGCTGGGTGGTAGGAAGGAAAAGGTGGGAGGGGTGAGGGGTGGAGGAACCGGGGCCTGAAGTCCCCAAAGAAGCCTGAGATGGGAGCAGGAGGGCTGTAGTCAGACAAGGGGCAAGCTTCCTGTCCTGCAAAAGGGCATTCTGGGAATGGACAGGCCGGCTCCCCTCCTCAGTACAGTCCCCCAGGGGTTACACATAGGGCCACACACAGGCAGGACCCAAACAGCCAGGTAGGGCAGTGGCAGTCTGCTGAGCTGGGTGGGGGGGAAGGGTGTTGTGTTTCAGGTAACATCTGTGTTCCCTCACACACACAGGCACACACACACAGCCACACGCCGCACATGAACTGGGACTCTGGGATGGGATCTTCACGCACGCACATACTGGTCCTTCGCCCGTGCACAGGTCCAACCCCAGGGCGGGGCACTCCATTCCTGTACTTACTTTGTAAAATCCTGTATACGTGTGTCCCCCACGAAGGGGCTGGGGGCTTCTCACATCGGCCTTTGCTCATATTCTTCCCACCTGGCACCAAAATCCACCTGTGCCTGGGCTGCCTACACAGTGGGGGGCCGTTGCTCACCATCGGAAGCCGGGGCCCGTGTCCCAGCGTCAGTCTCAGCCTGGGTGAGGGCAGCTACTGCCAGTGTGACAGCTCAAGATGTGTCCAGGCGGTGGGTCCCGGGACTCGGCCACCCCAGAGGTCACTCCAGCACATCTGAAGTCAACAGCCACCCAAAGCCAAGGCCCCTGAGGCCGAGCCGAGGGCATCACGTGGGAGCCTCTCCCAGTTCCAAGGTAAAGGTGTGAAAGGATGGAAAGCTCTGATTTTCTGTCTGCCTGGGGCGGCTCCTGACCTTTGCCGCATCCGCAACATTTCCCACACGCAACCCCCCAGCAGGCTGTGTGCCAGGGTGTGTGCACGCCACGTGTGCCCCCTCCCCGGGTCTGCGCACACCGAGTCCCAGGCTTCACGCGCAGGTCTAGCCTCTGGCAGGCACAGAGAAAGACAAGCATGTGGGCATGTGTGGAGCAGGAAGCTCCGTTTGCACAATGTTGGTGTTAGCAGTGTGGCCGCACTTCAGGTTGGCAGCAGCTCTGGGGGGAGCAGAAGGGGGCAAATAAATCTGCATAAACAAACGCACATGGGGCACCATCCTTATGGATAAACACGTGTGCAGCCGACCCAGGGGCAGGAACACTGGAGAAAGCCTCTATACGCGGCACACACACAGCGCATCCACGTTCTAGATAGCAGAGAAGTACAGGTGTCCGTGCCCACCCAAAACAGGTGTCCAGTGCATGTTATGGAAGGTTCTGACTGAGTGATGACCTTCCAGCGACCCTTCAGGCACGTCTGAGAGACGGGTGCATGCACACACACGCCCCTCATGTCACTGGTGGGGGACTGCACATGGCAGACAGGACAGTAGGCTGTTCATAAATGTGCACTGGACTCACCTTGGTACCTGCCACAGGCTCACACACACACACACACACACACACACACACACACCAGCCCCGGGGCGGCTGAGCTAGGAGGGTTTGCTCTGCATCACACTGTGGTGTCTGCTGTGGCCTATGTGTGTCTGGGCTACCGTGGGGTGTCTGTAGAAACCCACAGCAGACACCGGGAGGGGGTGGGCATCAGTAGAGGACGTGTGGTTGCATCAGACTCAAGCACACAAAGACAAAATTCCATGTACACAAAGTGCAGATCTGTGTGTGCGTGCTTACACACACACACACACACACACACACACCACACCTGTTCACAGGAGACAGCAGGGCTTGGGCTGCTGTATTATGTCTGGTGACAGTCTACACAAAACCCCAGTGACGGGGACGAAGCTCAGAAGACACACAGACTCAAGGTGGGGGGTAAAAAGGTGACTGGGTGCTTTGTACACACACACGCACACGCACAACACGCTGGGGTGTCCACACGTCTCGAGCATGTGCCGGCGGCATGCATGTTGGTGTGCATGTGTAATCACGCCTGCTGCTATCTACGTGCGTGGGCAGGGTGGTCCATGGCAGGGTGAGGACAGGGACTCCAAGGTCGGGTGGGGAGAAAAAGGGGGGGCTGCCTGGGTCTGTCTTGGGAATGAGCCTGGAGCAGGGGATGGAGTGAAAAGGATGGTGGGGGTATTGCTCCCAATGTGGTGGGGGAGGGTTCGGGGAGTAGGGGTGGGGGGCCTACAAGCCCAGCGTCCCCCCAATGGATGACGCCAAGACCACCCCCAGCACCACACAGCAAATGATGATCATGATTTTCTTCTGCAGGCAGGAAGGGTGGCGGGGAAGGAGGAGGAGACAGAGAACAGAGAGAGAGAGAGTTAAGACAGTGAGACAGACAGACAGGTGGGGGAAATGGAGAAAGAGGGTATGTGGAAAAAGAAAAGGGGAGAGAGAACAGAAAAAGCAAGAGGTCAGAGCCAGAGATTAGACCTCTCAGGAGAGTTCATCACTCGCCTCGACCCTGGCCTGAGCCCAGCCCCCCCACTGGCCCTGGCCCAGCGGTCCCCACAAACCCACCCCTCGCTCACCCTCCGGGCCTTGCTCTGATATTTCACAGCTTTCTTGGTATCGGACACGGCTCGTTCCACATAGTCCACGGAGTGTTCCACGTTGTACTCAATGCGGTCGATCATCTCCCCCTGCAGGAGGTGCGCAATGGGAGGGTTGGGGGCTGGGTTGGGAGGGGGCCTGGGACCTTGGGGGCGCCCCGAGTGGGGTCAGTGGCAGTACCTGGCTCTCCACCAGCATGGCCATGTCCACAAACATGTCGTGCAGTTCGCGGATGCTGGTTTCCAGTTTGATGATCTCATTGTGCCTCGTCTCAATCTCGTTCAGCGCCTGCTTCGTCATCTGTGAGTCCATTTTGATCTAGGGCAACGAGGGGGGAGGCGGAGCTGCAGACCCCCTTCGCTCCCATGCGAGCTGGGGTTCTGCAGCCAGTCTGGTGGCCAAGTGTAAGCTGTATACTTGGGCACATTACTCAACCTCTCTGAGCCTCAGCGTCCTCAGATTGTGTGGTAATAGCAGCACCACCTCCCACAGTGGTGGGGAAGACCGGGTGGTTTGACTTGTGCACATAGATTAGAAAAAGACCCACACGTAGAGAGCTCTGAAGAGGGCCCGTCCGGGTGGCGCAACAGGGGAGCACAGCACTATGAAGCTATCGCGGCCACTGCATCATTAGTTCCTTTCCCGACCAGGGAGGTGACCCACACTACCTCAGGAAACCCCAGGGCTTCCTCTATCAAACAGCCGGGAAGCCCAGGGAACTGAGCAAGGGCTCCAGGACTCCCACCAGTATTGGGGATCCCCAGACAGGTTGGGAGGACAGGACACAGCAGAGTGAGTATGAGAAGCAGAGGAGGACCAGCTGAGGGGCACCCATAAGTCACCTAGAGCTCACACAAGCAGGGAGAAGAAAGAAATGCACCACAGCCCTCAAGAGTTGATGGGAGGGTCCTCCTTAGTGGCCCAACAGATTAAAGCACAGTGCTATGAAGCTAGCCACAGCCACGGCAGCATAAGTTCGATCCCTGGCCAGGGAGCTTGACCCACGTGGTGCAGCAGACTTCTCCTGTCTTGCCCGCTGCTCCTTCAGCGTATATTTCAGTCAATCTGCCTGTCGTGTTCCCCACTCTGTCTCTGGTATATCCTCTTACCCCCACAACTCTGGCCTGTACCCCATTTCTTGTATGCATAAATAATCTTTTAAAAAAAAAGTCATCAGGAGGGAGACCCCAACCACAACCAGTCCAGACCCACTTCTTCCACAAACCACTCAGTGTTCAGACCACATCAAACCGCTCTCTGCTCTGAAACCCTCAAGAGTTCCCCACCACCCACAGAGGCTGGGCCAGCAGACAAGGCCCATCTCCCTTCCTGCCCTCATTTCCTGCAATTCCTAGAAGAGTTGAAATTATCCAATAGCCATTGGGCAAGAGAACCACAGCCTTGTCTTTGCTGGGTCTTGTCCCTCTGGGTAGAGTGCCCCTTTGCCCATTTCCCCTTGCCCAAATGTTCCTTGTCCAGGGACATTTAAAGCCCGTGTTAAAGCCCAGCCCAGTGTGTGCCACTTCCTGCAGGAAGTCTTCCCTGACTCCATTACTTTAGCCAGCAGCACAAGCAGCCAGGCAGGGTCTCCAGCACCCAGGGTGGTAGGGAAGGACTTCCACTGTCATGGTGATGGCTTCATTCACTGGGTCAGCTCTGCCCCCAAGTGCCTTCCTTAGCACTGCTCACCAGGCTTTCCTCCATTGTCAGATAGACAGACATCTGGAGCAGAGCTGTCTGGGAGGACTCCATGCTAACTGGCCCATTTGCCAAAGCTAATTTGACAAAGATCAATTATCTAAATAAAGATTCACTGACAACTGTTAGTCAGTCACTGAACTTATTTTAATCCTGGTCTAAAACCCTAGATTGGAG